AGTCATCTTGATGTCGTCCACGTCTTCAAAGCACATCCCCTTGATGACTCCCTCGAGCTTGGGGAAGAGGAAAAAAATCCCACAGAGCCAGATGGGGGGAGTAAGGAAGTTGATCCAGCACGGTGATGTTCTTCTCAGCCAGGAACTGTGGGATGCTCAGGGCATTGTGAGCAGGCAGGTTGTCATGGTGAAGCAGCCACGACTTGTCCTGCCACAACTCTCACCTCTTCTCACGCACTGAACTAAACACCACAGGATCTCTTTGTAGACACGCTGGTTGATCGTCTGAAGGGGAAAACTCCTCCCTGTTCCAAAGCGCTCACAGGCGGTCAGAGATCTGGAGCAGCAGTCCTAGCTGCAGTCAACAGGACAACCAGACGTCATGTTTACTTTGCTGGAGGTGGATATTTTAAGTTCAGCTTTTTAATACATAAATACGAGGAGGACTCAAACAGACATTAAATATTTTTTTTGAAAGCAACCTTCAACCCAGCGTCTTTTTTTTCGGAGTTCAAAATGTTTTTGTTGCATGCAGAAATTAAAATTTTAATTTCTCTGTAGCAATTCATTGATGTCAACACACTACAGTTTTTCATACATAGCATGAAGGTAAAAAAACAATATATGCAGTGTTTTCTTTATCTTAGATGTCAAAAGGCTTCTGTGGCTCCCAGTGTTTTCTTTTCTGTGGGAAACGGGTCCAAATGGCTCTTTGAGTGTTTAAGGTTTCCAACCTCTGTGCTAAAACAACAAATGAGTTGTTAAATTTGTCATACCTAGATTCTAGTGATAAATTCTTCTCATGTTCAGAAATATTTCACAAACCAAGAAAAGAATACATAATTCAAGTTCGTTAGTGTTAGTCAGTTATTGTTTCAGTTTAGACTATTTCTAGATTACAGTTCCAGATCTTTCTCTTCCTGTAAAATGTTTTAAGTAGTAAAAAATAGGCAGTTTTTAACTGATCTGTAGTTGTATGAATCTAAGCCTAATTTTTTGTTAACATCCGCTGTCAGACTGGTGTTTTAAATTTAAATATCCTAATAAAGGCAGCATTATCAGTCAGTAATTCATTGATTTATTTTACAAACTGAATACACCAGACAGATGTTTTGTGTTGTTGCTATTTTAACTCACAACCAATTAATGAGAGCAGTAAAAGCAGCTGTTACATGTGCCACTAGAACACAGAATCACTATACAAGCTTATCCCAGCTGTGAAGTGTGTTCTGCTTGGTGGTCATTGAGCGTCACAGAAGACTTTGTCATGGTGTTCTAACTAGCTAAACTCCCACAATGCTCTCTGCTTACCAACACAGGACTGCCCACTACTCTGATCACTACACAAGTCCACCTACTGGCGCAACCAGGTACTACAGATAAACTACAATACTTGAAGTGTGTATTATCTAGGAAAATAGTATCAAATTGAGACTTGCTATTAACAGATACTGAATATTTAGCGATCAGGTCGGCAGTTAAAAAAAAAAAAATTTGATTGGAACACCTGCTTTAAAGCTATTTTGATGACACATCTTTAACTCTTTAGTGTGATTTCAAATATATCAACTAAAATGTGATTTGAGGCGACCAGTTAACACTCTGCAATCACTCATGTGAAACCAGAGATGAATGTTTATTGGTCAAAGCTTGCAGACTAACATCTTAGTAGGAGGCATGCCTTTGAAGATTTCATTCAGTTTTCAATGTTTCCTTTCTGAACAAAGTGCTGCAGAGTTCCACATATTATATATTCATAAAGTTTAATGTCTCGGAAGACTTTGCTGCCAACTAAATGAAGCATACACATAAAACAAAACAAAGCGATGTTAGAGAAACGAATGCAGATTCATGCAGCTATTTCTGCACGAATGAGTGAAACCTTACCATTTATTCTTGATCATCACTTCTGCCAGATGTGACCTGACTGTTGATTCAGAACTCAGATTTAGCAATCTGCATGGGGACCAAAGTCTCATCTACATTTAGGTCACAGTTGGAAAGACCTCAGGTTAAAGTTTCACAAGAAGACGTGTGGAGACTGCTGCTGATAACAGCAGAAAAAGTTCAGATGTGGTTTTTTTTTTTCTCTCCAGACTCGGGTTAAGTTAGGTGAGGTCAGTGTGCCCTGGTAGTCTAATGGTGAAGGCATATACCACATAAATCTGGGCTTCCATGACCTCTGCTGTATGTCTCCTGCCTCCTTTTCTGTTTGACTCTCCACTGATGCTAATAAACAATCACCAAAAAACTGATTCATGCACACAAATAAGTGATGTTTTTTGAGTGGTTGTTGCTGTTCACTCACTTAGCTCTTTTTGTGTGAATGTGATCAGAACACAATGGTGTTGAGTCACAGCAAAGAGCAACACACCAGAGAACAATAGCAGCTCTTATGTGTTCGGCTGTCAGCCGGGGAACGCTTGATTGTGGGGCTGACCTTGTCAAAATGATACCCAGGGGACACAAAGAGGAGCAGGAGGAGGGGCCGAACCTCCTCTTTTGCCTCCCCACCTCCCCTTTTATTTCCTCACATTTGCATTTATACACCTTTATATTCTTATCTATTTCTGTTTTCATTTTCACATGACCATAAAGGCTTCTCTCTCACTCATTTCCTCAATAAGGATTTTAAATTGGTTCTGATGTTCTTTAACATTTTTAACCATTTTCCATTTTACCATTTCAATGTCAAATAAAACCTCCAACATGCGTAAATGGGATTCCTCTTTTGTGAAGGAACAGTGCAAAGTAAGTTATTCAGAGCAAACTAAGCATTTGTTCTCCTTCACTTAAAAAACTCAGTTTTGTTGTGCTCTCACACTTTCGAACTTAAATATATAATAAAGCGTCATAAAATAAATTAGTCAACGTGTTGCTCTGTTCTTCAAAAACCCATTGTATGGTGTAAAAAATAAAAAATTAAACAGAAATGGAGGCAGACGGCAGGATGAGTTTGTCTGCAACCAAAGCCAGTTCCTGATATATCACAGAAGAAGCAGCCGCCTCCACTCTGTGCGTCAGAGCACACACTCACTGTTCCATCATTTACACCACATGGATGAGTAAAAATATAGTTTTTTGTGTGTGTTTTTATATTTGTATGGCTCTGAGGGTGGTCTGTTCCTGGTGAAAAATCCCATAATAGCAGAGAAACAGGTCACATTAGATGTCTTCCCAATGCAGAAACTCACAAGAACTTCCGGGACTAGACCCCTAATTTGCTTCCAACAGCCTCATAAGGCTGAGTGATCATTTCTTGACAGCTTTGTGCAACGTCAATTCGGAATGCGTCAAAACAACAACAAAAGTGTCTGTGTAGATTCTCAGTCATCCAGGTCATGGTAGTCTTCAGAGTTTTGTTAAAAAGTAACTGGGATTCTCTTTTAGGTTCTTGAAGACAATTCACTTGTTGTCAAAGTGGCTTTTCCAGTTCTTCTACAGGGGCAGATGCTGCATTTTGGACATGCACAAATCCTGTGCGTTATTGCAGTGGGAAGCAGACTATTGTTTGTATCTTCAGGGGATAGTAAAACTCAGTGGTAGCTGGTGGCAAAAAAAATGGAGGGGGTGGTAATCTATCAGCATGGGACTAAGTGTAAGTGAGCTTTTGCTTGACCTTTTCAATCATTTGAAACCAGAGCCTTTTTTTGGTATGTCGCCTTTAGAGAGACACAAAAAACAAGGGAAAAGAGAGCAGGGACATGGCATGCAGTAAAGGTCCAGGCCAGCCACCAACTGACTGCTTAAAGGCACTTGCACACATGGACTATGTGCCCAAACCACTCGGCTATGAAGTCACCCTAAAGTAACTTTAATTTAAGTAGGTGACTGAGCAGATTGTGCTGGAGCAACATTGCTTTGCCTAAAAATAGACAGTTAAGTCGAGTTGAAGCAACCAATAAGGTACCAGCCATTATCAGACTTTAGTTGGATGTGGGTTTCTTTCTTTCTGCAAGATTACTTTTGTAAAATTTAAACAAATTTGCATTCATTCGCTGGCCGTTTCAACCTAACATTTGGTCATTTCATCTACTGACCTCCTCTGAGGCACCAGTCAACTACATCTACGGATGTTACCATCCATCCATCCATTATCTATACACCGCTTAATCCTCACTAGGGTCATGGGGGGCTGGAGTCTATCCCAGCTGACTCAGGGTGAAGGCAGGGGACACCCTGGACAGGTCGCCAGTCTATCACAGGGCTACACTTAGAGACAGACAACCAAGCACACTCACATTCACACCTACGGACAATTTAGAATCACCAATTAACCTCAACATGTTTTTGGACTGTGGGAGGAAGCCGGAGAACCCGGAGATAATCCACGCTGCACAGGGAGAACGTGCAAACTCCACGCAGAAAGATCCCGGGTGTGCTCACCGGGACTCAAACCAGCGACCTTCTTGCTGCGAGGCAAATATGCTGCATTTGTTTTCTAGAGTTATTATCGCTTTCATTTTGAAGTCAATCCTTGCTTTGTTTATTCTTCACAACTTTCTACATTGCTGTACTTGATACATCCGGTAATTTATCTTTTTACCGATGAGCCTATTTTCTGTCACAGTTAGTGTTCTGGTGGTCACGGTGGTGAACTCTGACTGCAAGCTAACTGACATTTTTTTATGAACAATAAATGCAAAAGAAAGCACTTGGGTAACAAGTGTGGAGTCAGTCTATACAATAAATCCATGTGAAGGTGAAGACCATTACAGAAATGCAATTATTTCACAATTACCTTTTGATTTCAGGTAATTGAATGGCAAAAACATCAAATTTCCCTTTAATTTTACAGGACAGAGATATCAGAGAATTGTTGGCCCACATGAGTTAAAAAATAAATTAAAAAAGTAATATAGATAAACTATTAACTGAAACTATGCAACCAACCCGCCGGCTTAAAGTTAAAGCACCTACACATGGGTTTCAAATAAAAGCAAAAGCCAACATATAGCGTTTAATTAAGAAGCCACCAGAACAGCTCCGTATCACTTTACTTCTTCTATGTAAATCAGTGTCTGTAGTTTTTGCATGGCTGAACTCCCAAATGTGCATTCATCTTTGTAATGAGGGGTTTACGAAGTGCATGTTAATTTCTTAATTGTACCATGCAGTGCACACGTGCAGAAGCATCTGCATTTGTTGTTTCTCAACTCACCTATTTGCCTTTAACTTGTCACCCACCCACAGTGTGCTGTTAGCGCACCTCAACCAGGAATTACACAAAGAAATGAACTAATTACAATATGAAAGCAAATAAGAATAAACGCTGACAGAACGAATTGACACATAATAGAAGTAAGCATTTTTTAAATTATAAGTATATGATTAATATGATTGAACACAGACTTATAAACAACTATTCCAGTATAAGCCAACAGCCTACAACAACCTTGTATACTGGCCAAATCCAAATTCATCACACGTTTACATGAATTAATATGTTTCCAAAGCAGTCATTTCCATTAAGTGTATATAACTTTTAAATGTAGCGTTATACTTAGTATCGCAGTGTGCATAGTTGTGCTTTAGCAGAACAATCAGTCTATCCCTCCCCCAGTCTAGCCAGCCAGCTGTGTTGCAGTATTAGCGTTTCACATCTGGTGGAGGTCAAAACCAATCTCCTCTCCCCTTTCTCTTCTTCATCCTCTCATCCACCATCACCCGGCCTCCCAATCCTCTGCTGTTCTGCTACACAGCCATTTTAAGGCTAATACACCACAGCGAAAAGCTACACAACGCAACAGCTACTGTGCTGCTGCCACATCAACACTTTAGGCATGAACCAGACACTACACATGAAAGCCCCAATTAGCTTTAGTGTGACCCAAACAGCCAGACTCTATCAGCATCAGGACAGAGTTTTAAAAAGCGTTCCAAATGACAGGAAAGACCCCCGGAAAAGATGTATATTATTTCAAGAACTGAGCAATATTATGTTTGGTAAATGGCTAGAACTGCAGCTTTAATATTAGAATATTTCACCATTGTATGCATGGCAGTAACAACAGTACATATTTCTGAGATACTTAAAGCCATATTGTAACTGTTGTGCAGTATAAAACATAACTATTTATCCGACCAAAGTCACAAAGCTGCCTTGACTTCATTCGCATTTGCAGGAAATGAGCACATTCTATCTGATGTTCAGTGAATTGAGGTTGTGTGCTTATGTGACGCTCATGTTGTATAACTCTTAAGTTGCAAGACAAGTCAGATGAAAATCAGCTGAGAGTCTGTTAAGTATGTCACTGTACAGAGGAAGGCCTAAAGCTCTCCAAGACATGCAGTAAACAACACATGATAAACACCCAGGATGTGGAAGTGCGTGTGCAGCAAGCAATCTTTGTCTAACTGAAGCTAATTCAGCATGGATTGTTTTTCTTGTGCATGTGACAGCAAAAAAAGGATTCTACCCAAAGAACAGCCAATGACTTCATGCTGCATGAATAAAATGCCAAATAGTTACAGCACAGGCAACATAACTGTAACGTTCGTGGTTCAGTTTCAGCTGTTTTGCATGTCCTATCCCCCCGTCTCTCACTCCATGTTTCCTGCCTGGCTATTCATTTGATTTATCACACTTTGTCTTTCACTCTTGAGAACTTGCAACTAAATACAGGAATAATTTCTACAACACATTTCCTTTATTAATTATTCCACTCACAGACAGTCTCCTTTCTGTTAATCGAACAACTGCTGCCTCCATGTCGGAAGGAGCAAAAGACACATAAATGATACTCACCGATAATAGATGTAACGCAGGTTTAGACAAAACATTAACAGGATTTGAAGTTTAGTTCGTTGCTTCCAGCTGTTTGTCGGAGTCTCTCCTTTGAGCTAATTAAACAGCTGCAGCATCAGCATCTCCAAAGACAGTGTCGTGTATTTATCATATGTGGCTTGTTGTAATGACACCCCGGGGAACATCAATGCAAAAGTGACCGAATGTCGTAAACAGACTGCAGCTTTTACATATCCGAAAAGGGCTGTAGGTCACTATTTATAATTCATTAGAAAAGGCTATTGTTCAGTTATTCTGCAGTTTTGACCAAGTCTTATCTAGCTGACCTAATACATGTTAATTTTCTTTAGACTCTGTCAAGTTGTACATGTGTCTCACTGTCCCTTGAGTTAAATGTTGCTATACTAAGACGCTCCCAAAAATACCGCTAACTTGCCAATACAAAGCATGTATATTATCATTACCATTACCACATTCACCATCCTACTTCAGTGTGTTAGCAATACCTGCTAATATCTGCTAATTTCCACAAAATGCAAAGCATGGCAATGGTATGGCAATTTCGTTTTTTAAGTATAGAGCATTAAACTATTATTGTCTCAACCAAATTTTATGAAAGTCCATCCAATAGTGGTAGCGTGACTAAGAAAACAACTTTTAAAAATTCTCAAGCTATGCTCCACACAGCAGAAAACAACCATTAAATATGCTGCATAAAGTCTTTTAACCATCTATATGCAAACCATCAATATTCATATCCTAAGGTTCAGTGCTCAAACCTTTTCCGGATCAGCTGGGCCAGATATGGTTTAGCCTCATCTCAATGAGTCAGCGTCTATTACATATTCATAAACTTTCGAATGGAGCGTGCCAGTCCTTTATGAACCATAAAATACATTACTAGTATATCAGAAAAATTTGACTCTAAAGTTCATGTTTAAATTAATTTCTATCAATAAATCAGAAGGTCTCTGAAAAGACAGAAAGAGCAGCTTCAAACGCCTCCACTTCTGCTCCTACTGGCTGATGAAATCTCTCTTAGTGTGCCACCAACCAGAGCACAACACTCCCCAGAGAAACTGATTCCTCCCAAGTCGTCTTAGATAAACTGTAGCAGGGATCAGTGGCTACAGGCACAACTGCTGGCTCCGTTTTATCACCCTGAGTTTTCCTCGTGGGGGTTTAGCTTCTGAGGACGGAACGACGAGGCAACAAAAGTGCTGCAGAGCAAAGAACAGCCCCTCTAATCAATAATTGATCAGGGAATCTTCCATATTAATAAAAGCAGAGGGTAGGTAGATGGCTGGGGGACTAATTGTCAAAAAATTAGTGCAAATTAGGTTTGTAGGGGATGATGAATCTATTACTGACTATCATGGGAAGTACTGCACGTTTTCCTGCTTGAAGACCTTAGACTTCACTGCTGCAGCAAACACTGTAGAAGACGATAAATAAATACATCACAGCATACATGCATACGATTCCTTTGAAAGTGTATCATCTGCTTTTTAGTTTATCGAGCGTCCTAATGAATGAGAATACACTCGTAACCATGGTAACAATGCTCATTGTTCCACTATAGGTTGTCCACACTCTCCTCAGAAGTCTGGCATCAGCACTCACTCTGTTACCAAAAATAGATCACACAAAAACACGCACTCACACACACACACACACACACACACACACACACACACACACACACACACTTGCACTGGGTTTACTACAGTTACTCACACAGCCTCTCTGCAGAGGATGTCTGCTGTGTTACGGCCAGAGGAGAGGAAGTGTTGTAAAGTGTGCATTAACCTACATTCACTGCACAAGTCCTGCAGCACAGCCTTGAGTTACTCTGTGCCGTGTGCGTACGTGCATGCATGCGTGCGTACGTGCGTGTGTGCGTGTGTACGTGTGTACATGCGTACGTGCGTGCGTGCATGTGAACTCCTGACATTGCGGGGACAGTAATCTATTAGCACAGTCATGTTATGGGAACTGAGCTCCCATATGGGGACAACAATCAAATCCCCTCAAGGTTAATTTTATTCACACTCGGTTTTGGGGTTAAGGTTGTAGATCAGGATACATACGTCCTACACCATCCTCAAGGAGCAGTTCACCAATTAAGCACTGCCCTTCAGTAACACTACAAGACTCAGAACACTGTCTTTTCTCTTCGAGACCTGGCTGCCAAGTTATCCACAATGCAGCTCATTTGTTATCATTAATTCAGGTGCCTTATGCATAGGCCTTTTATAAAAGATGAACATCGCAACCCAGATGTCACTCCACTTTTGAAGCCCTAAGTTTTGAATTTACCCGAGCGAACGCCTTATGCATTTCATGCCATGGCAACTTGTCAATCACAAAGTCGTTCCACCTCACTCTGCATACTCTGCTTTATCATCTGTTTTTCTCCAAGTGGGACCATTTAAAAAATTAACATCATGCTACATTGAAGGAGACTTGAAACTAGCAATTGAAACCATAAACTCATTAGGAAAATGTTTAATGAGGGAACAGATTAGGTGAAAAGTAGGTTTATTTTCTTCGGAGTTCTTTGCAATTAAAATTCTTTTTGCAACCGGAGGAGTCGCCCTCTGTTGGCCACTGGAAAGAATGCAGGTGTGAGGCTGTTCTACATTGGTTTCACTTTTCAGACCTCGATGCTACAACCATCTTTTATATGCAGTCTATGATCTTGTGCTGGTTGCTGTGATTGTAGCCCTAAGTCTCAATTATAGATGAAGAGGGAGCTACAGAGGCCTGGAAGGCTAACTTCTTTCTTATGGTCTGTTCTGACTGCACACAATGTGAGAAACGAGATGAATAATGTTAGGTCTCTGACTGCAATTCTAACATTTCAAAGCTGTTCATACTGACATCACCTTAAGAAACACACTTTGATTACGCTTCTTTTGCAGCCCAAAAGTTTAGCTACAAGCACATCCACCACTACCTCCAGGAATGGCCAATTTTTAGACCCACAACTGCTGCTGTACCGGATTATGTAGAAGAGGACTGAAGACCTGGTCCATGTTGTGTGTTTAGGTTTCATGCAGAATCGATTACCTCATATCACATATGATTCAAGTGCCATTTAAACTCAACATCCCATATCCCACATCCCTATTTCATATGCAAATCTGTCATCTTCACACCCAGCTGACTTATGTTCCTACATACATAACTAAGCTGTTTCCTCCTTTATGTTTAGGCAAACATATACCTCGTCAGTGAATGTATTACTGCCTAAACATATCTGCAACTTGCCAAATAATCAACAACATTTCTTCAATACTTCAACAGAAACCCTTGTTCATGTATTAGTCCTACCTACTGCCTGTAATCTCACTCTGATACACTTAAAGGCTACATGTATTTTCTAGTAGATGAAGGACAGCGTTAGTTCAGGTGCACCAAGGTTGCGTTTACATTAGATGATTGCCACTAACTGCTTCTTTCATGCTTCTCAGTCACTGCATCGTCCTTCGACTCCGTGGCGACCAGCCAACTAGAACACAATCATGTTCATTGAGGTTATTATCATTATAACCACTATTCACCACCTCATGCCAACACAGTTGCTGCAGCAGCTCTCAACCTCCTCCTCATGTGGCATATTTTTAGTATTATTAAATGTTCATACTGTATATTTGTTTGCCAAATTTATGTGGTAATTTTCAATGAATTCCATGTGTCTGACTGCTGAACTGAGTTTGGATCTTCCCTCTCCTTATTAGACACGTGCATTTAATCAGTTTCAGTTAGCTTTACAGAATCCCACAGAGAGAGAGAGAGAAAAAAAACACACTTATATCAAGGCCAGGTTTTCATTAAACACTTCAAATGCTTTTGTGTGGGCAGGAGATATAATTTGTTTCTACATTTTCATTAACTTGTACCCACTAGATAAGCATATATACAGAGAGCCAGCCAGGAGGACGGTTTTTTTTAATGAAAACTAGGTTGTACCTCTTGGTCTAACTTACTGTGGTCATAAAGAACCATCTTTTGTGTTTTAACGTTTTACCT